TCCCCAAAACCCATGCCAGGAGCCTCTGGCTTGCACACCAGACAGCAGGACAGCAAACTGGGAGATGTCCAACAAAGGCAGAAGGTGTCAAGAGTAAGAAACAGCCCCGTACCTCCAGGCATCCTCCCCCCCATCACAATCAGTTTTCCCACCTGACCACTGGAAGCCCATCTCTGCCTGCCCACAAGGTCACCCGGAGGGTCCCAGGGCAGCCCCTTGGGTGCAGGAAGCACCTCCAGCACAGGCAGAGGGTCCTGGGTCCAGCCTTGCTCCTCCTCCACTGCACCCAGCCATGGGGCAGCTCAGGCTTCCTAGCGCTGGTGATGGAGCAACTGGGCCACACGGCATTCCCATAGCGGGAAGAAGAGCTGGAGAAGGGTTTTAACTGCTCCCAGGGGTAGGAAAAAAAACGGTTTGAATGAAGGGCGAGCAGGACCACTGCTAGGCCAGACCTGGTGTTTTATGAGTCCTTCCTCCCTTGGAGAAAACCGAGCCCAGACACCAAGCTGCCACCGGAGAGCCCGCTCCCGCAGACCGCTGCCAGAGCCAGCAGGGTAGGTGAGGTGACAAGACACAGCACATTCGACAGCGTTCAACAGGGAACCAGTTTAATCAGATACCGGGTTTGCACCATTCTTTTTCAGTATGACAAGTTCTGCGTTTTTCTAAGAGATACAAAGCACTCTCAGGTTGTACAGAACGCTGGTCCTGGAGAAAACAAGACACTCTGATACAGACACGCCGACCAGCGCGCTGGGCAGCAGGAAGGAAGCCCCTTGTCCCCACCCCGCCAACAGCAACGGTCCCTTCACAGGCAGAAGGGAGATGCCAGGGGGTCCATACTGCAGCAGCGGGGCAGTGGCCAGGTGCCCTCCACCCACCTGAGGTCAGGGGACCTGACATCCGTACCCCGATTAGCACAACACTAACGAACACGTCTCTTCCATGTTCCACAACAGAGTGAAAAACCCCTTCGTAAAACCAGTTGGCAGGCATCCAGGTTCATCTACTCTAGGTAATATACTCAGAGCCGGGTAAGTTACTTCATCCACAAGATTAACAGCCAATTCAATAGGTTGAACACATGCTACTTACAGCACATAAACAGAAGTTGCTCTTTTTCTTTTTTTTATAACTTACAAAGAACATGTCACACAGGTCTACGGTCCGATCGCCTAGACACTGCCGCATGCACACAGCCACTGGCCTCCGCAGACGCGGGCCGCTCCGGGCAGCGAGGAGAGCTGTCTGCACCAGCTCTTCCCGACGTCACGGGACAGCCCCCATGCTCACGCATTATCCACACAGCCATCAAATAAACACGGTATTAGCTAAGAGCGGGGTTTAATACAAACTCTAAGGTTGCTTTTAAAAAGAAATATTAATCCATAGAGGGTTACAGTTAACAGATATCATCATCACTTTATTTCTCAGAACCGGAAATAGTGCTGAACAAACAAACAACGACAACAACAACAAAAAAAAGAGGAGACACAGCATGTCATTTCCAGAAGTGCAACCAGGGTACAGGGCAGCTCTCAGCAAGACGAAGGGCTTCTGCAGCCAACAGAGGGGGGGAGCCATGGCAGAAGATGGCAGCTCCCGCTCCTGGCAGGCGCCTGACCTTGCGACGCTCTCCGAGGGGATTCGTCACTGCAGCCTCCACCCCACCCCGCCAGCAGCACCCACAGCACACGGGACCACCGAGACCCCCAGCGCCCACCAAGCTAGGGAGCTGCGCGAAGGTGACTTTGCAGGGAGGCACCCCAAAATAAGAGACTTTAAAATGAACAGGACCAGAGCTTCTTCACAGTAGGCAATGCACTAGCTTTACCATGAACAAAACTAAGACTAACAGTCACTTGCAAACGAACAAACTTTTCCTCCTTTCCACATTCTCCCACCCTCCCCGCTGCAGTGCGGCCAGGATGGCATTGCAGGGGGGGGGCACGGCAGCAG